CGTGATATGAGTCATCATATAATTAGAGTATTAAATATATTGAATTAATTTAAAATTATGACCACTTTGACAAATTGTGTAACTAATAAGGACTAAATGTAAATTATACAAATTTTATTAACTGTCACTTCAGCACTTCCGTTAACTGTTAACGGCTAGTGGTTTGATTGAATTCATTGAAATAGTTGGGTGGTGTGATTGACAATAATTCAAAAATAGTGGTCGAAATGAAAATTGATTATAATTGGATGGTCTTTGATATAGTTTACCATATTTTTATTCAAACTCGTAACATCGACTTAACGGATTTCAATAAAATATAATTTTTATTAGATTGTATCACATAAGAATGAAAAATTTTAATTAAAAATATATATTTTATTAGAATTCGTCACATTGACGTAATAAGTTTCAAGTCATTGTAGTAAATTAATTTTAGAAATGACTTAATGAGCTAATTTTTTAACCCGTCTAGCCTAATTAGCCAATTTTACCCTTTTAAACCATTATTCAGTTGAATTTTCCGGTATCGGAAACCGGAAAACAAGACATTCCGGCGTCAATATTGGGTCTGCCGGCCTATTTATATCTTTGCTATTGCTTGCATGTGAGTCCCGTATGTGTGAATAAATCCGTATACAAATTTCAGCTCTTTTATTTATTTATTTGAAAATTTTATCAAATACTAATAATTAGCTTTTTCCTTTTTTTTATGGTAAGAAGATACAAGCACAAAAGCTTCCTCCTCGGCTTTGGTTCTAAGAAGCAACAAATACTTTTGTCAGTGGATTGTTGGACGCGTACATTGACGCATCACAATACATATCGGACGCATCACAATACATACGGTCAAAACATTGTTAAAATACGATTAACAATTTTAAAAAATACGATAATTTTTATTTTTATTATAAAAATATATATTTTTACGCACGTCAAATTAATTATTTTTATTTAGAAAAGATGAGATGTCCATAAATACAATGGACACATAATTAGGACATATTTCTATAATAATCAACAGAGGAATTTATTTACGTTGAGATTATACAAGGAACATATAAGTAAAATGTTAAAAATTCATCCAAAAATTTGAATAAAAGATAAATATGAATAAATGTGGTTGCATCAATAAAAAAAATTATAACAAGGGATTAAACTATTGAAAGACCAACGATAATTGTAAATCAAAATCGAGAGTCATGAGAAAATTAACTCTGAATGCAAATCGCATTTCTAAATTCAATATGAGGATCTAAAGTAGAAAAAAATCAATTTGATAACATATAAATGTTATCTTGATCAGTCGATTCGACTTAAGTCCAATCATTAGAAAAGTAAACAAAAAAATCAAACACATGCTAAAGAATATAAAAAATATATTAAAAGATAAAGAAAAACATGTCCTATAACAAGAATACTAAAAACTAAAAAATAGTAAAAATAATGATGTAATATAAAAAAATAAGAAAATAATGAATACCATGATAACCGATGTTAAATATCAAAATTAACGTTATCGATGATTAAAAAAATATTTGTTATTGTCATATGTTATCGTACACGAGTTTTATTTTAATTAAAGATTTCTAATATTATTGTGTCCGTATTTCGAGGTACCATAATATGGTTAGTCCCTTGGAAACCGATTTGGTTTTCCTCTATATAAACTCAGCTTTTCTCAAAACTTTGCACCAAAATAAACAAAGAAAGGGAGAGGGGAAACCGAAATGGCAGACAATCTTGTTGTTTCTAACGTAAACCTCGAGAAGCTTCTCAGCATGAAAGGTGGCAAAGGCGAAGGCAGCTATGCCAACAATTCCCAAGCTCAGGTTTTTTTTTTTTTTTTTTACATTTTCCCAGTTTTTTTATATGATTATAGTAACATATGAAGTTCATTTTATTTTTCAACGATCCGTGCAGGCTTTACATGCTCGTTCAATGCTTCACCTCCTTGAAGAAGCCCTAGACAGGGTTCAACTGCGTTCCCCCGATGTACCCTTCACGGTCGTCGACTTGGGGTGTTCCTGCGGCAGCAACACCATCTACATCGTCGACGTTATCGTCAAGCACATGGTGAAACGCTACGAGTCGTCCGGTCACGAGCCACCGGAATTCTCTGCTTTTTTCTCCGACCTTCCTAGCAATGATTTCAACACGCTTTTCCAACTCCTACCTCCGTTGGCAAATAACGGAGGTAGTAGCATGGAGGAGTGCCTTGCATCAGACGGACACCGATCGTATTTTGCTTCCGGGGTCCCTGGATCGTTTTACCGACGACTTTTTCCGGCTAGATCCGTCGATGTCTTCCATTCGGCGTTTTCACTGCACTGGCTATCACAGGTTATCATTATTCTCTCATTTATAATACAAAATCTCTATGCTATTAAATACATACATACGCATATAGAGTGAAAGTTTGTTCCCGAGGATGATCTCTAAGGCCCAAAAAAACAGCAGAAAAACATAATATTCAAGTTGATGTCATTTCATGGTAAAAAATACAAAAGTTTATGTGATTTTGAATGAGATTTAACCTTCCCATTTTTGACGGCATTTTGTAGGCCAAAAGTGAGTACACAAATGATCATAGTTAATGTTTATTTAAATACAATGTCATTTTCCCTCTCTTTGAAACTTGAAAAGAATTGGAACCCTAATTTCTTAAAAAATGTTTGACTATGTTGTGTGTGTGTGTTTTTCTAATAGGGTCACATATATTGAATAGAATAATGTTAAAGGTTCAGGTGACATTTTAAAAAATGATTTAATTAATGTTATCTAGTCTTGAGTATGATAAAATAATGTATTAAATAAGGGTAAAATAGCCAACGAGTGTTGAAGTGGTTAAAATTCAAGAATTTGAGCTTATAAGGTCAAATTTGAATCTTATTATTGTCACACTTGATAGACAATTTGTAAATTTATATATAAATTCCAATTAGGTCTTGTATGTCTTGTTGGAAAAAATAAGTGTAAAATATTATTACAAAAATAATATTATAATTTTTAACCTGGTGCATCCAGATGCCTGAAGCTGTGTTGGACAGAAGATCGACGGCTTACAACAAAGGGAGGGTGTTCATCCACGGTGCAAACGAGAGCACAGCCAGTGCATACAAGAAGCAGTTCCAGACAGACCTGGCAGAGTTCCTGAGAGCAAGATCCATAGAGATGAAGAAAGGTGGGTCCATGTTCCTTGTCTGCTTAGGCCGAACTTCGGCGGATCCCACCGACCAAGGTGGGGCCGGCCTCCTCTTCGGGACCCACTTTCAGGATGCTTGGGATGATCTTGTCCAAGAGGTATACCCACCTTAATTAATCACTAATCACCCATGTTTACTCAAAGCTCTTCATATTTATATGAGGCTTGTGCGTCAACAGTGCTCCCCATTGTACCTAAATCATAACTCACATCATTAGATTCTTTATATCTGACTCATCTCATGATTTAGGTTTAAGAATATGTTTAGAATTTTAATTATTACTTAAAACTATAATAATTAAAATAAATTAGGGTTTGATTTAACATGAAAATAGTGGAGGTCTATAAAAAAAAGACAATAATTTCACCCTATGCCCTGTTTCTGCAATTTGGCAGACCAAAAAGCATGGGGGAAACACCATGCAAAAGGGAGAATGATTAGGTGTGTTGAGGTTTATGATGGATTGTCACTGGTCACGACTAACCTACTCCAACGTCACCCGTTGGATGGACTTGGTTAAGAGAATCAGCTCTAGCCCTCCACTTGTCTTATTGCCATGTCGGCAGCAATATGATAGGTGCAGGCAAGGCCTCATGGGGGACCTACATGAGCAGTGACCACCACTGTTGGATCAAATTTGAAAAAAAAGAAAACGTTAAACATAATCATGGTATTTAGCAAGACGACAACAACAGTCATCGAGGTCCATGTGATCATTGTTGATCAAAATCATCATACAAGTTCAATGAACCAAACATTCTCTTGCACAAAATTCATGTAGTAGATAGTACATTTACGTATCATCCTCTCCTTTAATCAACTGTTCTATTCAAGCTGCCACATAATTTATCATCGTAATTTAATAATCATTTCATATATTTCTAGTTCATATGTGTCTTGTTTTATTGTTTATGGACCGATATTTTAAATTTTAAGATTTAAGATTAATGAAATTGAAATGACGCGCATGTGTTATGAAAGGGTCTCATAAGTTGCGAGAAAAGGGACAATTTCAACATTCCGGTGTATGCACCAAGCCTACAAGACTTCAAGGAAGTGGTTGAAGCTGATGGTTCATTCACCATAAACAAGCTCGAGGTATTCAAAGGAGGCAGCCCTCTAGTCGTTAGCCGGCCCGATGATGCATCGGAGGTAGGTCGAGCACTAGCCAACAGCTGCCGAAGTGTTTCCGGGGTACTAGTCGATGCTCACATCGGCGACAAGCTAAGCGAAGAGCTGTTTTTACAAGTGGCGAACCGAGGCACAAGTCACGCTAAAGAGCTGCTAGAGCAGTTGCAGTTCTTCCACATAGTTGCATCACTTTCTTTTGCCGAGTAAAAAGGAGTTTGGGGAAGGCTAATCAAAAAGAGGAGAAAAGAACTAAAAGGCTTTTCTTTATATCTTTTTCCTTTTTGTGTGTTAATTCTCAGTATTAATTATTTAACACAGGAAAGAGATGGGGAAAGAGTTTGCTTCTTCTTTTTAACTTTCATTTGTGTGTTTATGTGTGATTAAAGTTAATGAAATATTAATACTCTGTGTTCCCTTTAACCCTAATTATATAAATAAATTAAAAAATATATCTTCTATGCATAATTGCACAAACCAAAAACACAAAATTGTCCATTGCCGCACTTATCATGTATACACCATCAAAGACGAACATATAACTTTATATTAGAGAACGAACTTTTAAAATTTTTAGAAAGAATTTATAAAATTATATATAATAAAAATAAATTTCCAATTGAAAATACATTAAAAAATTTAAAAATATATAATAATTTTAAATTTTCAGAAGAGGTGATTATCCTCACCCGCCCTTTTGATCCATCGCCATACACCACAATGTTTGGTATTAAAAGAAGAATGAACACATTTCCTCTTGCAGCATATTTCCCCTTTGCAAGACAGACCCAGGAAACTTATTGCAAGTAACCCTACGACTTCGTTTCTTTTGCATCAGCAAATGTCTCTTTATCGTTGTAGTAGTATTAGATGGGTATCTGATTGAGTTAAATCGAATAGAAAAAAATTGAATTAATCGAGTTTATGAATACTATTTTATTATTTAAATTTTATTTAATATTTTTGAGTCGAGTTAAATAGGATATATTTATTCGAGTTTATATTTAAATTTAAATGTAATTACTTTTAGTGTTATGATATTGATTGATTCTAATTTAAACGACTTTCTTTAACTATATACGACATATATATCTATTTTTATCTTCTTTTTCACGTGTAAGGAAGATTTGAAATGTTATTCATCAAATATCATCTAAAATTTTATAATATAATAGTAATGCTATTGTCCAAACTTGTAAGGATATAGTATTGATACAAATGTTGTAGTTAAAGAATTGATGGGAAAAAAAGAATTTATAAAGAGTTGCAGTCTGAAGACTAAATTGAATAAAACACAAAACTGAGAGAATAAATTATAAAAAGAAAAAAAAATCATCGCCAAAAAGAGATTAAAGTTACACATGTAGTAAAAATATATGGGTAAAGTACATAAATGGTTTATCGACCCGTCTTTTAAAAGTTACAAAATGATCTTCTGACTATAGGGTATTGCTTTGTTGATTCCATCGACTATTAAAAGTTATAAAATGATCACTCGATTATTCATATGTTCCAAACTCAACCTTTTTCGTTAAAAAAATAACGGTCGTTTGAGTTGAACGTTAACATGCTAATTGAGATATGATAGTCGTTTGAGATTCTATGATTATATTTTATCATATCTCAGTCAGAAAATTAACGTCAATCTCAAAATGTCGTCAAATTTTTAAGGAAAATTACGAGATTGAAACATACGAATAGTTCAGTGACCATTTTATGACTTTTAATAGTTGGAGGACTAAACAAAGCAAAATCCTATAGTCACATTTTTGTAGCTTCCTCAACTTGGGGCATTCTTTTATTATACCTTCCTTCAGCATCGGAAATGGCAGAGCATCCATGTATATCGTCTTCAGTTTAGGCAGTTTTTGCAGATCGAAAGCCTCTAGCTCTGAAAACACGTTCGAACTTTCCGTCAGCTTGACGACTTCATCGAGTTTATCCTCGCCGATGACTTCTTCCAAATCTTGGCATTCATGTATGGCCAGTTTAACCAAGAGTGGAACAAATAATATCCGTGTTGCATCCTTCAATTTCGGGCAACGTGCTAGTTTTACAAACGTAACGCTTCGAAAGCACCCTGCACTTGCAATCTCTGCGCGTTCAATCTTCAGTTGTTCAAGATCTTCACAATCATAGACTCCTAGAAAATCCAGAGGCGCTTAAGCCGAAATACTCAACGACCTTGAACCTTTGAACAACTAATGGATCAAAGCTTCAACATTTCAGGTCTGAAACTTGTAAGACATCATAGCTCTTTCCAACATAGAAAGGCTTTCAATACTAATGGTCAACACATTCAAGTCAGCAAAACACTCAACTTCCTCCACCAACCGTTCATAACCAGACCCCACCATTTTCAATACTTGCAACTTTGATAGATTGGATATCAGTTGTGGTGGGATTGTTTTTAATCCGATGTGTGCTCCATATTCAAATATTTCAGATTTTCGAGGACCTTCAGCTCAACGGGAAGTGTTTTTAGTCCTGTGAAGGACAGATTGAGATGCTCTAGTGAAAACAACTTTGCAATTCCAACAGGCAGTTCATCCAAGTTGATGTTGAAGGACAAATCCAAAACCTTTAGCATAGGCATGAAGTTGAAGAAATCGTTGTTGATCACCTTCGACTCGTTCTTCCCTGGGAATAAAGTTAGGAGATTGGGGCATACGGATATCCGAGTTAGACTTTCGATTTGCTTTCCCATTGGGGACACTCTTCTTACGTCTTCCCAAGTTTCAGCTACAGGTTGTTCCTTTAATTGAATACCTGCTTTTACGCAGAATTTATCCATCTCGGATTCACTAGCTATCCACAAAGCCATGTCGCGGTTCACATCGTGCATCTTTACGATGTCGCTTCTTATGTCCTCTAATACGCATGCGTCGATAAGAGAACCTAAGATGTACTCTTCCTGGTTTCGGACATTGCTCAAGCAGGTATGTTGATTCTGGTCCAACAATCCTTCCCCGATCCAAATATGTATTAGCTCAATTTTTCTAATGGGAAAACCAGATGGGAATAAACAACAATATAAGAAACAAAATCTCACCCTTGCATCAGGTAAACAATCGTAACTGAATTTTAACTGAGGAAACATCTTTTTCCCTATCCCTGGGAGGACAGAGGCAGTTGATTACCGTAAGGCCTCCATGGCATATTTCCATTCTCCAGGGGTCTTCTTGGATGACATGGCTCGCCTGATTGTAATCAGTGCAAGCGGTAGTCCACCACACTCCTCTGCCATTGTTTCCGCTAACTTGCGAATATCTGGATGTCTCTCGAGTGTCTCTGCTCCAACCTTGTCCAAAAATAGTTTCAACGCCTCTGCTTGCTGTAAGCACTCAAATTACTCAAATTATTTGATTTGCAGATCTCGTCTTGGACTTTCTCGATTTGCAGATCTTGTGACACAACTACTCAAATTACTTGATCGAAATCATTCGGAATATCGAGGAATCTGTTATTGATTTGGTTTAGGAGGGTTGACAAGCGTCGTTTTACTCGTCAAAATAAAATAAAACTTATTCTAATAAAATAAAAATAATTATAGTATAGTGAAAGAGGGTCGATCCATAGGGACTTAAAAATTCTTGATGTGATTTAGTGTCGATTTCAGTCCAACCAATTGCAAGAAATATAAATTAGAAAAAGGGGGTTTTGTAATTGAGAGATGAAAGATAAAAGAAAATAAAAATAAATAAAAATCAAAGTAAAAGAAATGAAAACGTAAATAAAGTTGAAAACAATAATTATGAAATTTCCTCAAGCTAGCTTTGTTTCAATTCCGTTTGATTATCGAAATGGATTTTTACTTTAGGATTTATGCTGGTTACAGTCTACAAGGCCTAACCTATTGTAATTTGCCCTTCTCTCATGTAACCAATCTTCTCAAGTCTATCTTTGAAAGATGATTCTTGAGTGGATTAACTACGACTATTTCCGTTAAAACAATCAGAATTAAGTACTGGAAAGGCCCGACTCAGATTATGTTGTCTTGTCGAGAATCGAACTTGATCTCAATTTCCCTTAGCGGACAGCCGCTAAGTGTGTTTACGCGAAGTCGAATATGCCACAGGTCGATCATTCCTCCAAACTATAAATTAAAATAACATCCAAACCAACATCGACTTTTTGATTTGGAAGCTTTTTAATTTTAAAAAGATAGTCAATTGTCGATCTTTGATTCCAGAAAATTGAGAATGAAACCCGAATGTATTTTAGTGCTTTTCAATTCTCACATATCGGATTGAGTCATCTCTAACTCTCAACTATGAATGAAAAAAAAACTTTTAATAAAATGAAAATAAAAACAAATCTAATTCAAGTGTGTTTCAAGCTTTACCCTAAGGGTGTATCTATACCTTCTAAATCCCTAAAAATAACATGGAAATTCAAAATGAAAATCCTAAATCATAAAAGATAAATCCCAAGTGTTTTTAAATTTAAATTCCTAAAGATTTCGTCCATCTTCTTCCAAATAATGTTGACTGGACTGCTTCTAGAAACTGTTGTTGCTGACTAGATATTTTGGAAGTTGTCACGTTAGACCGCGTCGTGCCCGTGTGTCCAGCCACGATTCCAGAAAATAAAGAAAACTACAAAATGCGTCCTTTTTATGTTGTTTTCTGGAAAATAAGCTCCCTGCACAAAAATGAACAAAATAGAACTAAATCAGTAGTGAAAAGTTTCCAACACAAAAAAATAATGAAGGAAATAATGTCAATCTAGAACACTCATCAAATTCCTCCTCACTTGTCTCATGCTTGTCGTCAAGCATGCCTTGATCAAACTAGTTAAAAACTTAATTTACTTCATTTTGTCTCATACCAAAACAAATTATGAAAGTCAAGTTCACAATAACTATTTGAATCAAACACCAATCAATTGGATCAATACAAGTAAGATCAAGTCAAACAATATTGCAACTTCCTATCATTCATTAATAAAAATCCATCCTAGCTTAATTCCCCACAAGGATTCACTCAAATGTGTTTCGGGTGCAAAGTTCGCTCAAAGTCATAATTAATCAAGAATTTCCATAGGCTTGTAACACAATCAAATCTCCAGTACTTGATAGAAATAAAATATAAAGATAATTGGGACTTTTAAAAGGGTGTAATGAGACTTAGGTAAAGATAGGGAAAAAAGGCTAGAAATGAGGTTTTTAATCGAGACAGAATTCTTCAACAATCTCACCAAGTCCACGAGTGAAACAAAATAAATGAAACAACAAAAGTAATATATACATCAAAGTAAAAATGAATCAAACTGTTTTGTTTTGTTTTGTTTTTTTATTTTTATTTTTTTTTATTTTTTCCTTTTTTTGAACTATTTTTTCCTTTTCTGTTGTTTTTTTTTTCTTTTTGTTGAACTAGGTGACTCACAAGCTTCAATTTTTTTGTCTCGACAAGGGTCAAAAAGAGTGAAAATAAAAAAGGCTCGGGTTAAGATTAAGGTGAAAACAAAGAAGTGAAAAAGGCTCAAAATGACTCACTAATGGATTCGAAAAGGGTAGGTTTTTACTCGGGTAAAAATGGGGGTAAATCCTAATGCCCAAATCACATCAATGCATAAAATTTCACATGTAATCTCAAAGTGTATCATGCCACAAGTTCTAGATTCTCAAGAATAATTCGACACACTCAAACAAGAAAAATGAGCATAAAAGATTAGGAAACATGCTCAAGGCTTAAAATCTTACCAAAGTGTGTTTATCAAGTTAGGCGAAAACTTAATTGACAAAATCAAGGAAGGTTACAACAAAGTCGACTTAAATCACTACTCATTCAAAATATTTACATGTACTCAAACAATCATAACATGCTAAAAATAATCAACGAACGAAAATTTTCAATTAAGTTTAACAAATTCAATCAAGCATACAATCAAATGATTTCACAAGACAAGTAAGATGGAATTCAATTTCAATCTTTATCAATTTTGACAAGCGTCATTTTACTCGTCAAAATAAAATAAAACCTCTTCTCAAATAAAAGAAATAAAAATAAATATAGTATAGTGAAAGGGGGTCGATCCAACAGGGACATAGAAATTCCTTATATGATTTAGTGTCGATTTCAGTCCAGGCAATTGCAAGAAAAATAAATTAGAAAAGGGAGGGTTTTTGCGAGTGAGAGATTAAAGTAAATAAACAAAAGTAAAAAACTGAAGTAAAATAAATGAAAGCGGTAAATAAAAATTAAAAGATAATAATGAGAAAATGCCTCAAGCTAGCTTTGATTCAATTCCGTTTGATCATCGAAATTGATTTTTTGCTCTGGGATTCATGTCGATTACCGTCTACAAGGCCCATCCCATTCTAACTTGTTTTTCTCTCTAGTAATCGATATTCCCAAGTCTATCTTCGAAAGATGATTCTTGAGTGGATTAACTACATTGTCGTTAAAACAATCAGAATTAAGTAATGGAAAGGCCCGACTCAGATTACATTGTCTCGTCGAGAATCGAACCCGATCTCAATTTCCCTTAGCGGACCACCGCTAAGTGTGTTCACAAGAATTCGAATATGCCACAAGTCGATCCTTCCTCCCAACTATAAATTAAAACAATATCCTGACCAACATCGACTTTTTGATTTGAAAGCGTTTTAATTTTAAAAAGATGATCGATTGTCGATCTTTGATTCCAGAAACTCGAGAATGAAACCCAAATGTATTTTAGTGTTTTTCAATTCTCACATATGAAATTGAGTCATCGCTAGCTCTCAGCTATGAGTGAAAAAAAATTAATAAAATGAAAAATAAAAACAAATATAATTCAAGTGTGTTCCAAGCTTTATCCTAAGGGCTATTTATAGCTTCTAAATCCCTAAAGATAACATGAAAATTCAAAATGAAAATCCTCAATCTTAAAATATAAATCCCATGTGTTTTTAAATTTAAATTCCTAAAGATTTTGCCCATCTTCTTCTAGATAATGCTGACTGGACTGCTTCTAGAAACCGCTACTGCTGACTAGATCTTCTGAAAGTTGCCAAGAAATATCGCGTCGTGTCCAATGTCGTGCCCATGTGTCCAGCCACGATTCCAGAAAATAAATAAAACTGTATAATGCACTCTTTTTATGTGAACACTCATCAAAGGTCATCTTGCCAACATCTCCAAAGCCATATAGGCCAATAATTCCCACTTGTTCCTCTTGAAGACTGCTCCAAACATTGTTGCAAGTGGACAATAAACCCACAGTAGGCCGTTTAGTAGCCAAAGCAGTCCCTTGTCAGCCTCGGAATGAAAACTCCTTTGCTCTCCTCATCCTTCACCTCTCGTACATTTCTGCAATTTGCTTCCCAAACTTGAGACTTGACTTGGGATGCAAGGAACAATAACCTCCCACACATGATTGTTTAATTTGTCGAGGACTTTCGACAATCAGTAGATCAGCTTCGTTTATCATGGTCAAGGCCCTCGAAAGCCAACCCTCAACTTGGTCGAGCCGCTTAAGTTCGTGTTGTTCTTCGGCAATTATGACCTTGGTCATCACATCATTCCTGAGATGGTTCAATTCGGCTACTGCAGTTTCCAAAGCATCAAGGTTTTGTTCAAGCATGCATATAAAAACTGTAACATCCCAAAATACGGGTTACTGACTAAATTGTAAAACTTTAGAATGTGTTGATTAAAGTAAGATATTTGAATAGTGTAATGATTTGTTCAGAAATATTTCCTGAAAATAATTAGTAATTATCAAAGGAATTAAGGGGAAAAATGGTCATTTAACATGAAAGATATTTTGTTATCTCTTTATGAAGAGATAAACGTTGGGGGAGAGTATTTAGAAAACTCTTCTTCTTACCTTCTCTTCTCCAACGTGCAGAGCATAAGGTGAGTTTTCTATTTGTTATTTGTTAAATTGAAGATTAGGTTTTGATCATTAGATGATAACTAAGCTTAAGGAAAGCTTAAGTTGTCTTATAAGCAAAAGATGAAGAAGTTATAAGAGATTTAGGAAAATGAGTTTTTATATGAAATCATGGAATAGAGTTGATAAGTTGAATTTTAAGTTGAATTTGACTTGTCATCTATGAGAATAAGAAGATAGAAGTGTTAGAATTGTATTTAGAACATATTGAAATTTGAGTATGATTCTTGAATTACGTATGAAGGATAGGATTTTGAAGTTATAGATGATTTTCATGGATATAAGTTGGTTTAAGTAATGGTAGTTGAGTTTAATGACATGATAAAATAGAAGAATTAAGTGAAGAATTGATTATTTTCGGGGTTAAAATACAATTTCTGGGTAGAGGGAATTGATACCCTATGAAGGGAATCGATTCCCCCTCTTGGACGAAAATTCCAGTATGTACAGGGGGAACAGATTCCCCCTGGGGGGGTATTGATTCCCCGGGAACAGATTCCCCCTGGGGGGGTATCGATTCCCCCTAAATGAAAAAATGAAATTTGATTCGTTTAACCGATTTAAGTTATTAACATCAAGTTTAAAGTTTAAGCTTCTGGTAGTTGTTTTGAAATGATATATTTATGTTGATATTGAGCCTAAACAAGTTCCGGAATAATCAAAGGAATCGAATTAAAGCAAGGCTAAGGTGAGTGCAATTTTAATTGTACTTATATTATTGAACGAACATTGCCTTGCGATGAGCCAATGATGGAGTTACTACGGTAAGAAGTGACTCCTAAAATGTTATTTGATATGTGATTCTTATATGTACATGAATACATGATATGCATAAACATAAGAGCATGAAACATAAGATATATGATATGATATACATGATTATATGCATATGTGATATATGCTATGAGATATGACCAACGTGAAATGAAATAAGCTATATGAATATATGAAATGACATATGAATATGCAATATGTGATATGATATGATATGAAATATATGGTTACACATACATGTGGTATGTAACAGAAGAGAAAGAATAAGTGATGAGAAATATATTCATAATAAATGCCCATAGTATATGATACGAGAGCTCTAGGTATAGTTGGCATGCCAAGAGTCAAGGGTATTGTAGTCCTTCGGGACGTAGTCCTTCGGGACATAGTGGTCCTATGGGACATATATAGCAGTCCTTCGGGACGAATACTGAACAAATGTTCGGTGCCCCAGAGGGAATTATACGAGCTGTGGTGACAGCATTAGTGCACAACCTCAATGTACTCACATACCTCTATTCTCAATAATATACATGGGCAACAACAAGTAATTGAAATATAAATTAAAGTGAAAGTGATGCAAAAGGTAAGTTTCATGTGTGCATGACTTGATTATATATGTCATAGGAAATATATCCATGCATATTGAAATATCATGATCAAATAGTAAGAATGCATATCCATGAATCTACTGTTACATGTTTATTTATTGCCTCACTAAGTCTATGACTTACGTGTAAGTGATTTATACGTAGGTACCAAGAAACGTGAAGAGCAAGAATAGAAGTAGCAAGGATAGTATTATTACTAGAAGATCAGATCAGAAGTAATCGACAAAGTATGTATTATTGTGTATAGAGTGTTGGCATGTAATAACTCGTTAATTATGAGTACTCTGATCAAGTTTGTATTTTATGGTCTCTTTTATGTAAATTAAAGTATTCTGTTTTAAACAAGTTTTAAATTCCCCGGGGTTTTTCTTTAAGTGTCAAGGTTTGAAAAGTCAATGTGACACTTCAGACTCGTATTCGGGTCAGGTACGGGTTGGGGTGTTACAGTTAATGGCATCAAAGCTAAGGTTTAGTCGATTCTCGGCATAAACCGGAGTCTAGAGGTTTTATAAGGTTATACATGCTAACAAAATAGTGAAAACTTCTGATCTGATAGAATAGTAAGTGTATTGTTTGCTAATATAATTAAATATTATGTTATATTAGATATATATCATAAGAGTTTCTAAAGTGAAATACAAGGTGATAGACCTGAAGGTAATAGCATTCATCTGCCCTGGCCAGGCAGGGGAGAAGAGCGAAAACTCAGGGAATGCCTGTATAAGATTAGAGAGTGATTCATGATGTTGAAATATTATGATGTGTTTAATTTTATACTTCTATAATTCATAGAATTTATGTATTGAAAAGAGTTGAGAACACCCGAGTTTAAGGGTAAATTTGAGAAATGTTCCATTGTTATGGAAATTTGATTAAATGGTAGGAAGATAATATTATAAACTTTCATTTCTCCAAAGTGGAGAAGTTAAATTGAGTAGTTTTATTACTACGAAGGTAAGCTAGAAGTATGGTGAATAAATGTCACCATAAGAATGTTAAAATATCAAGTGACGTGGTTATCAATTGTAGAAGAATTTATGAATAAGTACATGAATGATCAGTTCATAAAACAAATGAAGATCGAATATATGAGATTAACAAAGAAGTTACACATGCATGTGTATGATTATAAGTTTAATAAGTTAAACAGATTTATTGTTGTGTTAATTTTGATTAGGAAGGATAAGGAAGAACATGTGATTGGTTTTTTAGGGCTTGCACCTTAAATTAAAAGAGTGTTACTGATTTTGAAATTGTTCTCAATTCAAGAAATGATTAATCGCGTTAAAATTCTATAGAGAGCTAAGAATAAAAGGATTGGAGAACAAAAATTTCAGATGATTAAGAGAATTAGTGTTTAATAGAGTTAAGCACCATTAAAGAAAGATAGAGATTCTAGCTTTTAACTTCAAACCAGATATGAATTAGTTGTATTCTTCGCCAGAGAATCAAATCAGATGAGAGTCAGACAAACTAAAGCAGTAGGGGCTGATATTTGAAGATTAAATAAGGAGTTAATTGATGACAAGTCAGAGTTAAAGACAACCTTTGTGAATTGAGTTAAAAGCTCTGTTAGAAGTTATGAAAATTGAAGCAAGAAAATTATTTTAAAGGGATATAAATGAGTTTAAGTATGTGTATGTGAGATAATGATTTGAATGTTCAAGAGAAGATATAGAGTAATAGAAAAGTTTGAGAATGAGTAAGTCGGTGAACAATTTATAAGATAAAGGAAGTTATAACGTTTGATTTTTAATCAGAGAAATAATATTGCGTATGAGTAAAAGTCCAAGTTTGAAAAGTTGAGTAAGATATCATTATATATATAATAATTTGATTGAAAATATGGTATATGATTGAGTGGATCAAGGTTGTACCCTAGATTAAAAATTAAAGATTTCATTTAAAAATTGAGGTGCTATTAAATAATGTTAAAGGATATCCACTATTATAAAGTGGAGAATTTAAATGAGATAATTTAGTTGCTATGCAGTTGAGCTAAAATATGGTAAATAAATGTTGTAATGTGAATAATGGAATATTTATTGATGTGAATATTGTTTCGGAAAAAGTTTAAGAAATAGGTATGGCAATAATTATTTTATAAGATGGAAGATGTTGAAATGTTGAGAGTGAACAAATAAAATTTCATGATACATGAGAATGAATGTGGATTTGATAAGTTAAGTAAACTATTGTTGAGATAATTCTGATTGGGAAAAAAAGGGTATATGATTAATTAATTGGAAATTGTGCACTAGATTAAATAGTTGTTATTGACTACTTGTAAGAGTAAAGGTGATAGAGTTAAAAGATTGGAAGAAAATATAAAGTGAATTAATCAAGTGTGATATGGATTTGAATATGGTTAGGTATTTGGATCATATATATATATATATATGATTAAGGCAATGAGAAGAGTATTTACAGGTTTTAAAAGGCGCTTTGAGAAATAAAAATAATGCAAGTATAAGAAAGAAAAAAGAATAAAGTTATGTGAAAATAATGTTAAATATTAAGGTTATGAAAATGTGATAAATATTAGTAATCAAATATAAGTATAAGTGTTATTATGATGTTTTTCATATAGATATGAAAAACGTAATGGAGTAAAAAAATGAATGAAATTATTTAGATTGAAAGGAGATTTTGATTTGTGAAGGAATAAAGAGATAAGGAAATTAAATGATAGAGTTTAAAGGTTTAAGAATGAAAAGGGTTATGATAAGGTGTAAAGTATAAGTTTGGTATAAAAGTAAGAATTTTTCAATTCTAAGTGGAAAGGATAAAGAGTTATGAATTTTGTATCAGAATTTCAGTAGAGACTAAATTTGGAGGTTTATGAAGAAACTGATTAAGTTAGTATCCTTTATCATACTGAGGTAAATATTTCTTGGATAAGTATGTAAGGTTATATGAAAAGATTGTTGGATTTTGTAAATTGCATGTCTTAATTATATCTGATGAAGATTTAAGATTATCTCAAAGTTGTGGAAATCTTTGAAAAGGTCTTAGGAATTTAAATTAATTGTAGCATTGATATCTATGCATAGACAAATAGTGAGTTTAACAGATTATTCATACTTTAAAAAGGGTATGTATGATTGAGTTCAAAGAATCATGGGAAAATTATTTACCTTTAGTAGAATTTGTCTATAATAATAATTATCAATTGAGCATTAAGATGACTCTGTATGAAGTTTATTTGGGAGAAAATATCGGACATCATTAATTTGGTTCAAGTTAAAGGATCAGAATTTTATTTTCCAGGATTTATTGAAAGTGGTTGAGGATAAAGTAAAG